AAACTCAAACTGAAGTGCCAGTTTGGGTCTCAGCTGTCTTCCAATCCAATGTGCCCTGCGAATGCTGGTGCCCTGGGAAGGCACTAGATGATGACCCAAGCACTTGGTCCCCTGCCACCAGTTTGGGAGACCAGGATGAAGTTCCTGTCTCCTCATTTAACATGGTGGTGTTTTTAGGTTTTCTACCTAGTTCCGAGAGGTTTTTAAATTCTGCCAGGGAGGTTTTAGAGCAAACGATCCCATCAGCTACTCAGTACTCTGCTCTATTTTGAAAATGCATTTCTCTGTTGGCACACAAAGGTGTTCCAGGGCTCAGAGCTCTGCCCAGTGTGAGGCCTGAAGGGCATGTGATTTGTGGGTTGTGTGCATCTGGGCAAGCTGCTCAGGACTCTGCGCACTTCTGCCTCACACAGCTTGGTCATCTAACCACTCCAGCTTTTTTTTTTAAGGCTTTATTTTCTTGGAAAGGCAGATCAGATGTATGGAGAGAAGGAGCGACAGAAAGATCTTCCATCTGCTGGTTCACTCCCCAAGTGGCCGCAACAGCCAGAGCTGAGCAGATCCAGTGCCAGGAGCTTCTTCCAGGTCTCCCACACAGGTGCAGGGTCCCAAGGCTTTGGGCCGTCCTCGACTGCCTTACCAGGCGGTAGGCAGGAAGCTGAATGGGAAGCGGAGCAGCTGGGGGCATGAACCAGTACCCATATGGGATGCTGGTGCTTGCAAGGTGAGGAGGGTTTAGCCACTGAGCCATCTCACTGGGCCCACCCCCTCAGCTTAAAGGCATTTCCTAATGTACCCACTAATGCTCTAGACAGTCTGTCATCCAGAATATAGGAAAGAAGTAGTTGGGAGAACTGTGGAGTTGCTACGTAGGCCCCAGCAGGTGTCCAGTGTGTGGTTTTCAGGACTAATCCCTGTATCTTCCCTTTGCCTAGTTGCACTAAGGGGAAGAGACTGTAGGAGGCGCTCTATCTCCTCTGGTCTTCCAGAAGGAAACAACAGTCTCAGTCTTGGCAGCTTTTCTTTTTGAAATGCTCCTCCTACCTAAGAGGTTAAGAAAATGACCATATCAGAGTTACATTTTTCCAGTTCCTAGGGAATCTGCCCAACTTATCTTTCCTTGAAATAAAAAAGAAATATGACTATTAGTTTTAAATTGCTGGGTTTTATTAAGATATTGGCAAAATTTCAACATACTCTTTACCTGAATGAACAGTTTTTATAAATAAAATATGAAGGATCACTCATGATTACAACTGGACGCAAAGGTGAGCTGAAAAGCAGGTTCATAAATTAATTTACTTGGTCAGATGATTCACTTCATCGGCTTCACTCCAGAGAGAATTCTTTGCAGAGAAATGTCCCAAACGAGAGAGCCCGGCCCGTCTCGGCGAGCAGCACCTAGAGTGAGAGTTTGCAATGGCGTTCCTCTGGCTGACTGCACACCTCAGTTTACTGCAGTGTTTCTCGTCTTCACATACAACTGCTGTGTCAGTCTGCAGGTGGTCGTATTTCATGTTTTGTAAATTAGCACAATAAATAGCTTTCAACTTAGAAGGTAAAAATGCTGGTAAGAAGTAGTAGCTATTTTTTCAACACAGTCCCATTTATATGGAAAATTATTATAGTACTGGCAGTATCATGTTCTGTTTGAAAAATCTAAACTAAACACAGGTCAAAACATAAAAGCAGGTATTTATGTCATTAAACTTCATTTTCACAGGTGGAAAAAGGTCTTTTCTTGAACTAATTTATGATCCAAAGGAAAACTACCAGGTTAGGTTGTAAACACAAGTGTAGTGTCCCTTTTATGGCCCTGCTGAAGTGATCAAGCTCACTGAGCGAACAACTTAGGTTTTAAAAATTAAATAACTTAGCTCATTTCCTCACAGAGCTCAGCAAGCCTTCAGTGAAGTACTTGAACCACAGCAGTTTTATCTCAATGCTGAACTACCTTATGCATCATTTTCAGTCTACCCACTGGATGCCACACTTGTTACTGGCACACTGTTCAACAATGGCGTATGGTTGTCATGAAAATGCAGTGTTGGTAGGTACATGTGGTCAGAATTAGACTCAGTGTTGACACTGGCATTGTTGATAGCTGTCCATGAAAATGGAGTCACTTTTGAAGGAGCCTCCTAGTTAAATGTAACAGTAATTGTGTTAATTCAAGGACAGTGGATGGCACTTCTAGGTAAAGAAAAGGTATGTACATATCTGTGTGTACCCATCATCCTCTTCAGTACAGGGCAGAGCAGGAGGCGGAGCCCCAGGTTCGCTGCTGTAACGCTGCCTGCCTGCAGACGGCCCTCAGAGGGACACAGCTCCACAGTGAACAGAGGAGACCTGCAGTTAGGGACTTGACTCCCTTTGGCGCTTACAACGAATGTGCGAGGAGTTTGCAGTGACTTCCCTTGGTGACTTGAAGTCTGTTTCCCTAGTCAGCACTATACTTTCTTGTTTATATTTGTTTTACTATTTCCTATTCTAACAAACTTGTTTAGCAGGCACACAAATTAATGCAGATCATGTTAAATCGAAAAAGGGATACTGCCACTCTTTGAAGGTTTGAGCGTGTAGAACTTTCACCACCACTAAATTACACAATGAATAAAAGTACAAAACACGTAATTCACAGACTATACCTCGTCATTAACAGGTAATATATACTATATGCTTTTATATCTGTCTAATATTTGTAATCACCAGATACACCATCATTAAATACAAGTTACAGAAATGTGTAGATACCGTTAGGTAGAGGGTACTTATTGCTTACATCAGCAAGCAGCAGATAAGGGCACAGGATCTGAATGGAAGGAAACTACTTTATCACCAGTGGCATGAAGATCTAACACTGCGCTTCACAAAGCACTGCTTGTTTATCTAATCAACCAGTAACCACTACTTTAATATGTATTGTAGAATTTTAAAGGACTTACCTTACAAATGGTACCTAACTATTCTATAAATGTGCATGTTGTGAACAAATGGACATTTGTTATTTTTTTTTACAAGATTGGTTTATAACTTGACCACACCAGGACTACTTTGTTTTCTAGAGAGCTAATGGTAATGAGAAATGGAGTTAACACTGCCATGTAGTCAGACCTACAAATCCAGACCCTCAATTAAAGATGGGTTGGTCTGTCCCAGTTTCATCCATTTGTTTTCCCCTAGTGAAAAAGCCTATCACTTGTAACTTCTTTCATTTGCTTTATTCTGACAAAAAACATTACCAATAGATGATTGCATAAAATTTTAAAAATATTTTTACTTAGCTAAGTAATATTTTTACTTTCTGGACTAGAATGTGTACCAATATTCTGCTGCCTCTTGTTTTCTTGTTTTCTTAGATAACTTGATTTGAAACTGGCACTGCACCTGCTGGGGTTGTTAACAAGATCTAGGCTTCAGAAAATGACAGAAGAGTGAGGTCCATGTATGGGGGCAAAGCATCAAATGGTGAAAAGATCCTAGGATTAAGGTTGGAGCCATGTTTACTGCTTTTCAACCATGTGTCTCAACACTTAAGACACAACTTCAAAATCAAAGGAAAACAAATACTGAAAATCTCTACTTTCAAATTTTAATAAAATCTGCAGAATAATAATTATTGCTAACGTGAGACAGTTTTTAAAAGTTTATTTTATATAGCTATACTGGCACCCAAAGTTTGCTACCATTAACTTTTAGTCTTTCATTATGCATCTGGGAAATATAAAATCCTTATTATTGCAAAAACATGATTAGGCAGTGGACATTTTTCAGCAAGAACACTCGCTGCATCCTAACAGTACAAACTGATGATGCCAGCCGGACTCCTCCCACCTGCTGCCATGGCCGGGCCTCGTGCCAGGAGGTTCTCCCGGAGCTCCTAAGGAGGCTGAGAACCCAGGGCCGTTCCACTGAATGAAGGAGTCTAAGCATTAGTGGTGCTTTTGGTTTTTGTTTCTGCCTTTGTTAAGGTAAGCATTTGGCCTGAAAACACAGAAATTGCAAAAAGAAGACGATTTAAAAATATGAACTAGACCTAAGTGCAGCCCTGAGGCGTGGGCAGCCCGAGGCCGCCGCAGCAGGCCAGGGGGCGCGCCCAGCGCTGCTGCCCGTTGGCATGGGGCCCGAGGGCTCACTGTAGGACACTACCTCGGCATTCCTCAGACCACTGCTGCATTCCCTTAGGGGAAATCACTTTAGAAAAGCTAAACTATAATTCTCATTCCCCCCAAACCACTTTTTAATACTATAGTTTATGTCTTTGCTGTCTGGGAACTTTGCTATTGGGTTTTCTTTTTAAATGGCTGTTTGCTTCGAGTATAATTGTACCTGACATCATCTCCATTCAACCAGGCTTATTCCTGAGATGAAGGTGCAGTGAAACACTTGTTAGTACCAGATCAAAACCAGCTGACCACGGTCTCCTAGAATGATAAATTTAAAAAATTCCACCAAAAGCACCATAACTGATTATGAAACTCCATGTAACTACAACCCTAGGAAATATTAATTCAAAAAAATGTTCATAGTTAAGATTTACAGGAAAAATATCAATCTTTTTGATACATACTATCCTGTAAGTCTGAGAACATGACATGTTTCTAGTAGCTTTTTACTTTGTTACCAATTGAAACTCACATGGCTTTTAGTCTTCTACCTACTCAAAATGGGGAAATGTTTTCTTTGGGGTTCCCAGGCTTTTGTGGGACATTTCCCAACTAAGCTGAATTCTGCATTAGGTTTTCTGTGAATATGTATTAGGCACATCAGACCAGATTCCACTGCATTTGAGATTTCCGCCTCATCTCTCCCAAGCTTCCACTAGTGACGCGAAGGGGCAGAGGAGGGGCTGTACACAGGTGCGGATGCACAACACACACCAGTTGTGTAATTTTGCTAAGTGAAACCGCCAATACTTTTTGTTAGATGGAAAATACTGTACCTTTTAGTTTCCTAGAGATCTATTTACACTTGGGAATGGAGCTATCCAGGGATTCCTAATGAAGCAGGTATGTTGTAGAAATGTCTACTTTGTTTCTATTTTCATGGTGGGGTTTCTAGAGGGGGTGCTAGCCTGCCTACTTTAAAGAAAAGTTACATTTTATGGCTCCAGGGGAGATCTGGGTATGGAATATCATTATTCTTTCCAACCTTCCTCATCCTGTTGTCATTGTACCCTTTCCAGCTTTTTAGCCTCCATGACAGAGAACTTTTTAACATCTTGTTTCTCTTCCCTCTTGGAATAAGTGAGGACAGGTTAGTGCCCGTCTCATGGGAGGGCGCCCTGGCAGACAGAAAGGAATAGAACTTGGTGATAAAGCCATAGCCGTGCTGCCTCTTTGAGTAGTGGTGGTGTGAGTGATACAACCTAGACACTCTTTTTCCTGGGAATTTGAATTGTTCATTTTCCAACCCAAAACAGACAGGAGAAAAGCTCTCCATTCTGTGTATCTGCCGCCCTGTTGAGCCCGAATGAACAGAAGCGGGAAGCACTCCAGCACCACTCCGTTCAGGCAATGATGAATGCATTTCCTCCACCATTAGCTCCTGATTAACATTGGCTTTCTTTGGTGCACCAGAACCAAACATCTCAACTGGTGGCAAACACGGGCCACTGCAAGGCTTGCTTGTTTCTATTTGTGTGAGATCTAGGTAGCCTGGGTCTTGCAGCACGTTGATTGGGGACCCTGGGCTGAGGCTAGTTCTATCAGTGAAGGAATCCACACGCCCGTCACAGCCTAGATCTGCCGGCGCTGAGCACTGGTGCTGCGGCCAGGGGCGTCTGCACTCTCCATGATGCTCCTTATCATCCCCACCATCTTCTTGCCCTCCTTGAAAAGAGTTCTCTGTCCAATCTGATTCCTCACTAACATTTACAGCTTTGTTCATGTCCCTCAGGAATACCACAATAACAGTGATGTTATCACTGGACCCAGCATCACGAGCTGATGCCACTAACTTGTGGGCAACCATGCTGCTGTCTCCATTATTCTCCTTCAAGTGGTCAGACACAACTTTCACTGCCTCATCGGGGTTCACGGTGTCATAGAAGCCATCACAGGCCAGAATGAGGTAGTCTTCGGTCCCGTCTAAAACAGTAGAGGCAGAATCTGCATCTCCGCATATATATGGCTTATGTTCAGCATCTCCTGTGGGAATTATAAAGTAGGTACATCAGAGGTCATACTTTGGTTTATCCTAAATCCAATGCCATAACAGCTAACAATTTTATTGGGAATTGTTAAATCACTTTGGAGGAGGCAGGCATTTTAATGCAGTGGTTTAAACTGGCACTTGCAAGGCCAGCATCCTGTATAAATGTCAGTTCTTGTCCCAGCTGTTCCACTTCCTATCCAGCTCCCTGGTAATGCACCTGGAAGGCTGCCAGAATCCCTGCCACTCAACTGGGAGCCCACGTGCAGCTCCTACCCTGGCTCTCCTGTCTCACATCCAACAATAAACTAGTTCAAGAATTGTTTTAGAAATAAAATACTAGAATGTATAAATCAGATGCTGTGTATTCCCTTCTCCCAATTTGCCAATCACTGGGCTTAGTTCCCACTGCTGGACTCAGTGCCTTTTCAAGCTTAGGTTCTTTCTTGTACCTCAGGCCACGACTCAGATTTAGCCAGACATGGGAAACAACACTGTCAGATCTCAATCGACTGTACTGGAAAGTTGAACCCTACACAGGACTATTTTGTTCATGTAATAGAACTGTTTTTACTTGTAGCTGGATTTGAGATTGAGAACCAGTCCACGCTGAGAAAAAGTTCTGATCATCCTCTTCTTTAAACAACATTATTATCCTTGTTTGAAAATCAGTACAGTTATAAGGATTTTAAAAAGTCTAGGGAGGGCATTGTGACACAGATTAAGCCACCCACATCCCCTTACTGGAGTGCCAGCTCCAGGCCCTGGCTCCTCTGCTTCCCATCCAGGCTCCTGTTAAGGCGCTTGGGAAGCTGTGCATGGCGGTTCAAGTACTTGTGTCCCTGCTACATGTATAGGGGATCCTGGCTTCAGACCTCAGTCTGACCCATCCCTGGCTCTTACAAGCACTGGAGAGTGAACCGCACATGGAAGATCTTTCTCTTCCAGTCACTTTAAAAAACAGAAATCAAGTCAGACTCCCTCAAACCAAGAAAAGGTATGTGGCTAATCCAAGGCCTCAAACAAGGGAACCAGAGAGAGCTCTTCTGGTTCCTGGCTCATCTGGCTTTCTGCCTCTCTCAGGCTGCTTTACTTGTGACTTCTGGAGAACACACAATGTATATCCATTTTTTTGTGTGTGTTCAGAGACACTCTTACTTTTTTGTCTCAGAATGCCCTCCTCTTCTTTCTTTATTGTTATGTTCATACCCCTACTATTACAGCTGCAAGAAACCCCTCCTGGGCCTGCCTTTCCTTCCCTCTCCCTTCATTCATTTACAGAACAACTGCGCTGTGCCATGAAGAGTAAGTTATCACTAAGCGGGGAAGGCCCCTGGAGGAGACAGCATGTGCAGTGACTTGAGGCAGCATTCAGTGGCCCTGCACTGTGCAGCATGGTGCATCTGCAGGAGAGATGGCAGATCTAAGCCAGGTTAATCACGAGCGGGCCAGGATAGCTCATCTATAGCACATCTGGTCCAGGGCCAGAGCACTTCCTGATCCTTATGTTTATGCTGCTGTTTTCCCTTAGCTGTCTGGAGAGTCACAAGGTACTAGCGACTCTGAGGGATGGTGATTTTCAGTTCTTTATACAGACAGTACTGGGCAATAATTTCTAGCGTAATTTTCATAACTCATTGTTGAAGAGAAGCTTATCATTTGTAAACTAGGGGCACGTGGCTTACTGGTTAAAAGTGCCAGCGCTGGAATCAGACTGCACTTACTGTCTATACAGTTGCCATAAACAACTGGCCTTTCCATTGCACTGAAAATAGGACCTTCTGGCCAAGGGAAGGTAAAGGATCTGGCCATGCATTTATGGTTTCTTGCGTCTGCCACAGGGACTCTTCTATGTGTCTTATCCCTTTGGAATCTACAAATAGACTCAGAAAACCCAAGTGCAAGCCTCTGGATAACTAATAAAGCCAATGTGGGCAACCTGGATTCATCTATGTGGCTAAAAAAAAAGTCATAAATATTTAACTGTTCTCAAATGTGTTCTCATCTTACTTGTATTTAGGATCTTCTCCATTCATATTTCCTATAGTAGTCAACACAGTCCCCTTCAAACCTGGTTTGATGTTATTAACTTCACTTACATACTAGGATGCCTCTCTTTAGAACTAATTAAAACTCCCAGTCATGGGATTCAATATCCTCCACCAATTCGTTTTACTAAATTTCCCCATTCCATACTTTACCTGATCATATTATTATTTTCTGAATTCCATCTCTAAAAATAAAGTGATCTGAGTCATACTGTTCCAACAAACCTTGTTTGAGTGCTTCAATTAAAAGAGCACCGCAACTGTTTGTCTAGAATGGAACATTCAGAGATTCGCACAGAGAAAATGCTGCTGCCAGAAGTCTGGCTTTTCACCTGCTCTGCTCTTGAGTCTCAAGTTCATGGCATTCCACCCCCAGGTTTGGTAGGAGGGCAGGAATACCCATTTCATGGCAGAAGTGGCAGCATCCTATTGTTTGCAACTTTCTCTTTCCATGTGCTGGGAAGCACATCATGACGCTGTCAGCTTTGGATCTGAAGGGCTCATGGGTAGAACCACTAGCAAAGCTTCTCCTTTCTAAAGCTCTTTAAGTACTGTTTCTTAAGGAAAACTGACTGATTTCTTGTCCTTACTGCAATCACTGCAAGAGTCCTTCTGAAAGTTCATGGAGAGACTGACATGTGGCATGGTGAGCTAAGCTGCTGCCTGCCATGCTGAATCCCATATCAGAGCATGCCAGTTCCAGTCCAGCTGCCCCCTTCTGATCCAGCTCCCTGCTAATGCACCTGGGAAAGCAGTGGGAGATGGCTCTGCTCATGCAGGAGGTCCACATAGAGCTCTGGCCTCCTGGCTTCAGCCTGGACCAGGGCCAGCTGTGCAGCCCTTTGGCGAGTGAACTTGTGGTTACAAGTTTCTCTATCACTTTTTCTTTAGGATAAATGAAAATTTTTTAAGGATTTGGTTTTTTATTGGAAAGTCAGATTTACAGAGAAGAAGAGAGAAGAGGAAGATCACCTTCCACTGGTTCACTCCCCAAGCAGCTGCAACAGAGCTGAGCTGATCCAAAGCCAGGAGCCAGGAGCTTCCCCTGGGGCTCTCATGTGGGTGCAGGGTCCCAAGGCTTTGGGCCGTCCTCCAGGCCACAAGCAGGGAGCTGGAAGGGAAGTGGGACCACTGGAATAAACTGGAGCCCATATGGGATCCCAGTGCATGCAAGGTGAGGACTTTAGCTGCTAGGCTACCATGCTGGGCTCAGGATAAATGAGTCTTTAAAAAGTCCATAGCAGGGGGTCAGCGCTGTGGCTTTGACAGGTAATCCTCCATCTATAAGGACTGGCATGCTCAAACCTAAAATCATCATCTGAAAAAGAAATCAAGAATTGGGCACCCTAGCTAGTGAACTGAACCTCTGCCCATGACACTGGTGGCCCACATGGATGCTGGTTCAGGTTCTGGATGGCCCTTATTGCCCGTGGGAGAGCCAGAGGAGGCTCCTGGCAGGACACCGCAGTTCCTGCTGTTTCCGTTATGGAAGTCCTCTCCCTCTCACCTCCTTTCAAATAAAAAATATATTTTTAAAAATCTTCTTAAAAGTAATAATCTACTTTGTCCCAAGTCAGCTGTTTCTTCAAGCTATCACTTTTTCTTTTCTCTTTTGCCATTAGCTCAAGAAACTAAATTTTTGTCACTGCCTATTCTCCCAAGCTGATTTTTAACCTGACTAGGTTTTTCCACCTATTGGTCTAAAACATGTATATTAAATGTCACTAATTTTACCCTATGTTAAAATTCTGAATCTTGCTTTTTAAATATTCACTGTTCATTTAAACTCTGTAGCACTTGACACTGGTGGCTCCTAGAAACCTTTCTCGTCGTTATCTGGAGTTCCCCCTCTCTATCACTTCTTCATTCTCCTCTCTGGCTCCTTCACTATTCTAGCACTAACCACGACAGCGCCGGGCATGGTTCAAGGTTCAGTGCATGTGTTATACATTTATTACTAAAAAATTCCTTGAGTCACGTACTGTTACTCCCAAATATCACAGAAAATATTACAAATTATAAAGATCACAGTGGCAGAGCCTAGACACAAGCCCAGAGGATGGGACTCGCTGTGTGGCTCCGTGTTCTGGCCAGTGCCGCCCATCCCTATAATTTGAGCTACTTTATGAATACATACATCACTTTACAATTTGCTGTTATCACTGGGAAAGTGGGATGAGTCCCCCAACTGTTTCTCCAGCCTAGAGCTCTCAACTGTGGGACAGGCTGCCAGCTACACAGAAATTCCCTTCTAAGACATCCCACACGTATGAAATATGTCCAAACTGAACTCAATTATTTCCCAAATGTATCCTTATTACAAATTCTTCGTCATCTTTGCATTTGCAAGTCAAAAACCTGGAGGCTGGTTTTTCTCTTCCCTACAACCTGTCGTTTTTGCCTCATCCCTTTATAGCTACCTGCAGATCTCTTTTCAGCTGTCCTCGCCTGTCAGTAGCCCGATGGCCGCTCCAGGCTTGCTCTGTCCTGATCCACCTTCCTCCCCGGCACTGCGCATGCCCCTAGCCCTTGAGCTTTCCGCAGCTCCCCTGACAGCTCGAGCACTCAGCCTCACATTTCAAGCCCTCCACAATTGGGAGCCAATACTCATCATCTCTGCCACTCCCACCCTCTGCTATAAGCTTCCTGCACTCAATGTGACCCCGGAAACATGCACTGTGTCCTATCAAACTCCATGGCCCTGTCCTCCATTGTATCTGGGATTTCGTTCTGTGAAGTCTCCCTCAGAATGTCACTTGTTCATCTAGGGTATTCCTCCTTGCTTTGATTTCTACTTGTGTTAGATTTTTAGGGGAAAAATAAAAAGACAAGTGTCCGCTAGTAAGTTGGTTCAAAGATATCTAACCCTCCATCCTTGGACAAAGGGAAGATGAAGAGGAGGAAGTCTTTGGTTAGAGTTGTCAAAAATAATTCTGTGCGGGATGTATTTCCAAAATGAGAAACACCTCCTTTTCTGGCTCTCTCCCAGAGCTCCTAAGAACTCCCTCTGCGAAGGGCAACTCCCGATTTTTACAAGGTGTTTGTGCTCTCAGCTCTGCCTCTCTTTCAGCCTTCCGCTGCTCGTATCCAGGCCACGGCACAGCTTGCCAGCACTTTCCCATAGAGTGTGAAAGTCAATTCTACCAGATTTTCTTAATGTTCAGGAATTTTTTTTTACAATAATAGACTAAATTTGAAGATTAGATGTGAACTATTCATCTTAAATCTGGGTCAAATTCATTTCTTTAAGCATTAAAATTTGTAATATTGTAAGAGTTAAGAATTGCAATATTTATGCAAATTGCCCATACAGTTCCTGTTTAAAAATCCAGTAATGAAACAAGCTGTGGAGTCAAATAATAACCCCTGAGCCCAAAATGAAGCAAAAGTAAAAACAGCTCAAGTCTTTGAACTTACACCCTTGTATTTTGTCCATTCAGTTTTGCTGATTCTCCCCTTTTTAAAAAACTTGAAGTCCTGGGTCATTGAAATCTCATTTCAGAATTCATTTGAAACAGATACGAGAAAAACAAATAGGGGTAAAATATAGAGAGTGCCTTCTAGTTTCTGGCAAATACGGATTTAAGCTAAACATGATCCAAAATGAAATGAAATGAGAAGCATTTTAATTTCCACCAGATCAGCAGGGGCTGGTTCTGTGGCACAGCATGTTAAGCCACTATATTTATGGCCAGCATCCCATATGGCTGCTGCTTCAAGTCCCTCTGTTCTACTTCCAGTCCAGCTTCCTGCTAAGGTGCCTGGAAAGCAGAAAGAAGATGCTCAAGCCTGTGGGCTCTGCTCCCCACGTGGGAGAGAGAGGAAGCTGCTGGCTTTGGCCTGGCCTAGTCTTGGCCACTGTGGCCATTCAGGGAGTGAACCAGCAGATGGAAGAACTCTGTTTCTTTTGTCTCTCTTGTCTTTCTGTAACTGTTTTTCAGATAAATAAATCCTTTAAAAAGATGTAGAATAATGGCTTTAATTAAAAATAGATAAAGGGCTGGCACAATCTGGCTAATCCTAGCCTGCAAGTGCCAGTATCTAACATGGGCACTGTTTTGTGTCCCAGGTGCTCCACTTCCCATCCAGCTCCCTGCTTGTGGCCTGGGAAAGCAGAGGGGGTTGGCTCAAAGCCTTGAGAGCCTGTACCTGTGTGGAAGACCAGAAGAAGCTCCTGGTTCATGGCTTCGGATTAGCTCAGCTCTGGCTATTGTAGAAGGTCTTTCTGAGTGTCTCTCCCTCTTTATAAATCTGCCTTTCCAATTTAACTAGATAAATAAAAATAGAAGCTAGTAAATCCTGAATTTCTTGATATGGCTCCACTTAAACAAAACAAAACCAAACCTTATTTAGTCGGGTAGCCAAGTAGAGAAGAGTGAGTTTCCTCACTAGCTCACTCACCAAATGGCCGTAATGACCAGACGGCCTGTCTGAAGCCAGGAGCTTCTTCTGGATTTCCCATGTGCTGCAGGGACCCAAGTGCTTCTGCCTGTCTCCTGCTTCAGGCCATTAGCTGGATCGGAGGTAAAGCACCCATATAGGATGCTGGTACCGCAGACACTGACTGTACTTGCTGTGCCATGGCACCAACCCCAGCTGGCTCTATTTGAATAATTGTATTTACGCATACAAATGGACAGGTGTAGTTAAATAATTAAAAAGTGGCATTATCCAGTTGCTATCAACCACAAAATGAGAGTATTAATATAAATTATCTCAGGTTAAGCTGCAACAGTTAATAGAAGACAATGAGTTAGGAGAAGTTTGGTTAAAGAAAAACTTTTTCCTACCAATAGCTCTGGAGACGGATAAACTTCCATTCACCCTCCAGGCACCAAACCAGACTACACAACCTCCAAGGGCCTCAATTCGCTGCTTTTCATCCTAAACAGCAATGCAATAAAAATAATAACTGGATTCAGGTTGATTATTCTTCTTTGACAGTAAATAACAGATATAATCTGAAAAGGTTTCTTTGGAACGTGGGTATGGCTGCTGAGATAATGGTGATAATTATAATAATTAAGTGAACCCTAATTAATAAACTTTGAAAACTTCCTTTAAGGCATAGAATAGGCTATACTTACCTCTCTGTCTGGTTTATGAGGCTTCATTAGTTCAACAGCTTGGCCCTTCCTCACAAGCATAACCTGGGAATCACCCACCCAGGCCACGTGTAGCATGTTACCTCTGATAAAAGTCACCACTCCTGTGGTCCCACATCTTAAGCTCTGCAAATAGTTTAAAACCAGAGTCAGTGAAAATAAATACACACCAAATTTTCATTGAGAAATAATTTGCTTTTAATATAAACTTTTCAGATGGGAGTTAATCATTAATAATGCAATTTTACAGATACACAGCAGTTACTGCATTTGGGTATTTGTGTGTGTATACACACAAAGCCGCCGTTCTGGAATATGAAAGGTGGGGATTATTCATTTAAAGTACAGATATGAAAGCAATGGCAGGCTGTTTGACTTGCTCAAGGGAAGGTAAATGATTAATACAGAAAACAGAACTGAAACTCTTTTCCTCCATTTGAATGTTAAATGTACTATGCCAATTCTTAGAGAAAACTTTCCATATTCTAGTCTCTTTCTATTACTGATTACTGATTACAGGACAGTCTTAGATGTGTAAAGTAATGTAGGAAGTCTGACTGACACAATGACCACGCCCGATCTCTGGACGTCAGGAAGAGCTGAGCTACAGCACATATCCCTTTAGAGCCCATGGGCTTGCTTATACCTTTCAAAATAGCATGTAGGGGTCCTTCCCTTTGGAAAACTTTATCAAAAACTAATAGTCCAGAATCTTGCTGTAGTAGCTACCACTGTACTTAGAGCTCTAGATCCCACTATACTAAAATGACATCTCCCTTTGACATGAGTCACCAGGTGAGCATGACTTTCAGTTACTAAGGACCTGGCCTAAATTAGAACCAGTGCTCCAGGGGTGGTGAAGAGCCCCTTGTACCCAAGGAGAACAACAACTTCTCATTCTCCTTATATAGGGAAAGTTTGTTATAAATCCTCAACCAACAATAAAATGTCTTCCCACACAGAATATTCAAAAAAACCCCTGGAACCCATGCTAAAAGACACTTGAGTGCATATGCCCTGGAGAGAACAGGAGGCAGGGCTCTTCCCCCACAGGGATCGCTCCTTTCTTCCTGGCAGTTAGCAGCACAGGGAAGCACAAGAACTAACTGCTGAGACAAGCCTGAATTATGCAGGACAACTATTGGCAGAACTAAAAAACTCCAGGATCAATGACAAAACAAATGAGACAAACATGGTCAGTAAAAAGGCCGTCTGAGGACACAAGGAAAGGAACAGAACAGAGGATAGCAGACACGGTGATTCTCTGTTGCAGTGAGTACAGATCCTGTCTACTGTGAGGCCGCAGCATGCTGGCGGCACGAGGCGGCGGGCGGGCTGTTTCTTTTCCAGCCCACCGCTGACTGTGGACCTGACTGTTGTGGAACCTGCATATTAATCCAGATTTGGGGGAGGAAGAAAATAGAGATTTCTCTTGCTTAATGCCAAACAGTTTTGAATTACTGTTGTATTAATTCTAAACACTACTGCTATATATATCCAAGATTAAAGAATTGATTTAAATGATTACCCCATTCTCTCCAAGACCATTTTAAAAGCAATTTAAGTCAAGGCCAGTCTTATTTTCTATGTGCACATAATTCTATAATTATTTTTTAAAATAAGTTATTTACTATTGGCCTTCAGTTAAAAATTCAGCAGAGTACTGCAGTTAATTATGTATTAATGGCAAGAATGACAACTTTTTTTTTTACTTGCAGCTCTTCATATAGTGAGTTACCCATTCAGAGTAAAAACCTTAGGTATAATTAACCTTAGTAATGTAAGACATGAGTTGACTTTCCTTCCTGCTGGAATCATCTAAGGATTCACCTTCTCCAAGCAACATTTCCCTCAAGGGATACACAGTGAGACCCTGCCTGCCCATTTGGAACCAAATGTATGGAAATCATCCCAGTTTCTGCTTTTTTTAGATCACTGTTTATTCACCATATCCAGATCTTAAGCAGTAGTCTGCTTAGAGATGGTCCTGGTGTGAACCTGACAGGCAATGGTGAATCAAACAAAGAAAATATTCACCTGCCAAATCCAGCAATGATTATAGAAATGAATCTGGAAAATTGCGTTTGGAGTATTTCTTTATAGTACATCATTGTACCCTCACTGGACTTAATTCTTTAAGTGGGAAAAGAATAGAATATTACAGATATTTTAAAAAAAAGTTTAAAAAAATGTCTGTTCAGAACAACAGTTAATGCTTAGTTGGGTGTGGCAGTGCCTTCACAGCTAGAATTGATGAGAAAGTGGCATACCTCCCTGGCTGCTTTCTGTACAAACCGCTCATCAGTGACCCGGAAAGCCCGGCACAGGGCCTCAGCAGGGTCGTGGGGGAACATCTCCTGGCGCACTAAGTTAACGTGGAGGTGAATGGAGGCGTAAATGGCAGCATCCACTCCCCCATGGCCGTCAAACACTGCAAAGTAAGCTTGTTCTTCCTGGTCCTGTCAACAGAAACACAGCACAGTCAGGTGTCGGTGCTAATTGATTCAAGTGAGTGAATCCATGTTGCCCATCCTTAACCCTCACTGCGTCTGTCATCCAGGCAAGGAGGCTCAATCTTTCCTTCTTCTAACATGACTGATCAACTGCTTCAATACCTGCAACATTAGTGCACCTGTGTTCACACACTGGCACACGGCAGGCTGAAGTGCCCTCTTTGGGAAAGTTGTTGTCTTGTACCATGGAAACCTCCCCTTTGCTTGCTTCAAAATTGCTGTTACACATTGAGAGGAGAGGAATGAGAAGGTATGAGAAAGGATTAAGTGAAAACTTTTCTGAATTGAGTGCTATTTTTCAAAATGAAGTTATTTTAATAGTCAAATTAGAACCCAAGAACAACAGGAAATAATTGGCCCTCCAGCACGAGGCCAATTATGCTCACAGTGTTGAAAATACATAGGAGATATGAAATCATACACAATTCCAAACTATAAAGCCTCTTTCTTAAGTCCTTCATGATCACAAAGAATTCTCACTACATCCCTGGTTAATCAGATTTGAACCACATCAGGCTCCCAATGCTTTGATGGCCCACCTCCTGGCCATCACAGTGTCTTGGCCTCTTCACATTTTCTAGTAAAGGCAACTGCCAAGGCAGGGTCTTCCAACACCGTGTTTGTCTTAACAAGGACACCTATTGATAAGTTACATTTCAGCCACTTTGGTGGTTTGCTTCTAAGTCTTGTAAGAGCTTGTGTCTAACATCAGTCCCACCTCTATCTGCCTGGACCCTGAGTTCCTTTAGGCAGCTCATGGCAGCAATCTATTTCATTTGCAAGTAGTGTCATTGCTTTTTCCTTCAGTTTTACAAGTCAGGGCAGTGCTCAGCCTATCACTGATTGTAAGAAAAGCAATTTTCTCATCTGTTAGAGATAAGGCACTATCTCTTGGGGACTAAATGTATATTTGTGCTTTTAAAAAGTTATTTGGGGGGTGGGCCAGCGTGGTAACCTAGTGGCTAAAGTCCTTGCCTATGGGCCCTGGTTCATATCCCAGCTGCTCCACTTTCTTTCCAGCTCCCCGCTTGTGGCTTGAGAAAGCAGTACAAGATGGCCCAAACCCTTGGGACCCTGCACCCATTGTGAGACCTGGAAGAGGCTCCTGGTTCCTGGCTTCAGATCAGTTCAGCTCTGGCTACTGTGGCCATTTGGGGAGTAAATTAGCAGATGGGAGATCTTTATCTCTGCTCTCTGTAAATCTACCTTCCTAATAAAATTAAATTGACCTTTTTAAAAATAATAAAATTCTTTTTAAAGAGCACAGAAATACCAAATAAGCATTATGAAATCTGTATTATATGGATATTATAACTATTTATTTTTCAGTTGAGCAGTATTATCCATAATGCCACTGGCAGTTGATTAAACAGAACTAGAAATAATCCTAATATGTAGAATTTCTACTTGTATTAAGGAAGTACTCAAGCAACTCTGTAGCATCAGAAGAAATGGGAACAAAGCAAATTTCTTTTTCAAAACTAGATAGCTTCTTTTAAGGAAAGCAAGAAATATTTACTGATGTTTTACTTATAATTTGGATAAAGGGTAAAGGAGGAATAAATATCACTTATAATCCTACTATCTGTAGATAGCCAGTATTATACATAGATATTTAATGAAAATTAGGATTGTCTTGTATATAATTTTCTTTGTGTCATAAGGAGGACATCAATTATCATTTAGTTTATTGAGGTCATTTCCACTTTTATTTATTTATTTAATTTGAGAGACGCAGAGAAGCCGCCCATCTGGAGTTCAGTCCCACTGCAGACACGATGGAGTGTTGGGAACGCAGTCTACATTTCCTGTGTGGGTGGCAGGAGCTCTGTGGCTTGAGCAACCACCACGGCCTCCCAGTGTCTGCATTCACAGGTACCAGGGCAGGGAATCCATGTGGAATGCAGGCATCTAAACCGCCAAGGCCCATTGCTCCATTATTTTTTACTGTAAACATTTAAGTCAAAACATGTATAATAAGACTGACTGCACTTTTGTTTCCTCATATCAAAGTAAAAGTGAAATTACCCAAAGGTTATGTGAGGATTTGTAATCCTGAATGTGCACTGCCAGGCTGCAGTTAAAGCCACTGCACTACCCTGAGCTGCTCCTTTTCCTGATTTAGGCTTAAACTTAAGGATGATTTTGAAATCAGTCAGCAACATAAAAACCGAGCCGACAGCAGTAACGCCGACAGATTGGAGCAGCCCTTGAAACAAGTGACGCGGCACTGGCGCTGGTACCTCTGCGCACTCGCAGGAGCCGGACTCTGAAACCAGAGCTGCCGCTGCCCGCTCCCCTCACTGCTAAATGAACGAAATACTGTGCTCGGTGTAAGTTATTATATTTTAATTTGCAGACTGAAGTGAAGAAAAGAGGCAAATGACAGGAAAAGGAAAACAACCTATCTGTATTAACGTAATACATTTAATAGAAAGGAAAAAAAGAACAAGAAAATGGTCATTAAGCTGACAAGGCTCATGTGAATCTAATTTGTCAGTCACAGAGATTTGTGAAATAGTTTCAGCTACTTTGCTGTTTCAGAGACCAAAATTTTGAAAAGAAAACCACATGAAATCAGAAAATGTCTCAGCCTTTAATTTATTCTTTTGTGTTTTGTTTTTCCTTCAGCCATATTGCAATATGGGAACTTAACCATTTGATTATACTGTAGAAATAGTTCCCTTTAAAAAAAAAAACAAACAATTACTAGGCTAGGCTAGTTTTCTTTTTTGCTTATACGTTTGTAGAACAGCCCTGGAAGGTTACCCAAGAAACTGGTAACTTCCCTTGCCTTCATGAGGGGGAATATGGTATCTAGGAGAAAAGGATTAAAGAGAGATTTTAATTTTCCCAATTTTGAAACTCGGGAACCTATTCAAAATAAGATACCCTGTCCCTTTCCATTGTTGACTGCGGGCAGCTGTGTGCCACAAGGAATTCAGTCCTGCCCGGCCTGCCCTCTCCCGTCAGGCCCGCGGAGGCTGCGCGCCCTGCATCTCACCGGCTCCACCAGTGCCCTTACCTCTAGGTTGAAGAGCATATTAAAGTCAGGAATGCAGACGTGTTTGTCCTCCATTTTCCTGCGCATGTTTTTGATGGCATGGATCGAGGTCTCATAATACAGCTGGGGTCTCCTGCGCAGAGGGAAGTCTTTCACCCAGCTGCAGCAAATCTCGTGCAGTTTGCTGAAGACAGAACGGGCCAATTTCACCGTCTCAATCTCTGTGAAGGAAACACAGAAACCTCCCAGTGAGGAGCCTGGTAAAACTGCTTCCCTTTGCCTGCTTGGGGAAGACAGAAGTAGGTCACCTGAGTCAGGCTCCTCCTCAACAGAAGAAATTCGCCCTTCTGCGCCTCTGAAGAAAGGAAATGACAGCCTGTCTGGTGGGAAGTCACCCTGGCAGCTGCCACTGCAGCGGCCTCCTGGGTCACAGGCTTGTGCCACAGCTGCACCTCGCGCTTCTTCCAGCAGAAGTGTCCTCACCGCGGCTCTCTGTGCTCATCACTAAGAGAGCCAAGCCTCCTACTAAGCACGAAAAAATGTCTGAAATATGAAGCGACTCTAGTTAATAGAAATGCGAAAGGCCGAAGAGAACACAGGGCACAAACTATAGGAGTGAGAGAAATGCATCTTGTCAAGTACCTTACCCTCTGTCTCCCTCACCGCCTCCTTTATATCACATTGCTTGCTTTTTTACTTCCTGCAAGTGATCATTTGGAACAAAATCACATTTTTCCTACTTGAAGTTTTAGGCAGTTTAGTTAATAGGTTAAGTGACTTGACGGTTGTATACTTCTCTAAGGAAAAAGGTTCTTAAGTTCTGTATGCGACTGAATAGGAAGAGGAGACAGCAGCCGAGCCGCAGCAGGAGCTGGGTGTGTGCTGCCCGCCCTTCCGTCGGGGTGGCCGCGTGGATGCCCACTGCACCCTGCCACACACGCCAGCCTGCCACGCACTGCCAGAGGTACTGACGGGATGTACTTTGTATCATTTAGCCCTCCACTCAAGTTACATCTATTGGAATATTTTTTTCCTCAGCCCAGAATTCTAGTGGTTCTTCTTTTATCTCAGGTTAAAAAAAAAATCCCCAAAAGAATTGTTTCTAACTGAATCAGACAGAGCTTGATGGCCTCACAAGACTATTTTCCTGAACCACCTGCCTTCACCTTAATCTGTGGGTACTATGTTTACCTGCTTTTTAAAATCAGAATGTTTTTTCAAAATGACTATAATCAGAAAACCAATGTCAAATTTTTGACCCCTCTTTTCCTCTTTAACATAATGGGTGGTGGGTGGCAAATCCTGCCTGGTGGCTCTGTTCCCTTTAACACGTGTGTGTGTGTGTGTGTGTGTGTGTGTGCATGCGTGCGCACACTGAAAAATCAAGGAACACCAAAAGAGAAAGGAACAAGAAGAGCAGGAGTAGAGGAGCCTAGGAGATGTGCACATGTGGGAGACAGACCTGCAGTGCGCCCACCAGCTGGTTCTGAGCAACCCCAGTGTTCTAAAGCACCAGCTTCCAAACTCAGCCAGCACTCGCCCAGCTGGGCCCCACAGCAGCGCAGGCCGCATCGGACCCAGGTGTGCAGCAACCAGGGTAATTCTGTTGCTCGGAGAGATGGATCAGTTACTGGGATAGTTTCTAGAATCCCACATAAAAATATACACTACTGCTTTAATCTTTTGGTTGTATACTACTATTATATAGGTAACCTGTCCAGTAAGGCTAAACACAACTATTTAAATTAGCTAAAATTTATATTTAAAATTCAGGTTTTTTGGTCATATTCATTCAACTCCAGAGACTCAATCTCTCTATTTGGCTGGTGGCTGCCCTATTGGATATTACAGTAAACATTTTCACCAGTGTTCTGAACTGGGACAGATTAAAGTGTTAAAGCAGTGTTCTTTCCTCAAATTAGTTAACCTCTCAATCTGTCCATGTTCTTCAGGGGTTCCCTCCCCCATATTTCCCATTCCAAGGATTGATCTATTAGAACTTTTAATCATATTTTGTAACAGATCTCACTTATTGGTCATGTGCTGTGTTCTGTATAACCCCACTTGAGTCCAGCGATATGGAGCTCTGAAATCCGGATGATCTCCTGTCTCCAACCCTCCAACAGAAGCTGTGTCTTCACTGTCCTTGATCAGCCACAGTACAATTCCCAGCACACAGCAGGGACTCTTTAGATGTTTGTTGAATAAATGAATGGAAATTGTTATATAAATAAAATAACCAGAAAAATATTAAATTATTTACATAGCGGTTATTTATTCTGCTTCACTCATCTCTCTTCTACAATGGTAAAGTACTTTATGTTTCACTATCAGGAGACTAGTTTTCCTATTGCTTATTCTTAATTAAAACAAAATGCAACTTGGGTAATGGGACATGTTTCTTTTTCCAGATGAACTTTTAAATTATGTTTCCAACTTTGGCCAGGAAGACTTATTCCCATTCTGTTTGGGATTGCACTGAATTTACATATTAGTTCAGAAAAAGTTGAGTGTTTTTTCATAATGAATCCTATCCTAATAGGAACAAGTTTTATTGTAGCTCAACAGAATTTTAACAAAGGCCATTCATATTTCTTAATCACTTCATTCTTGGCTATTTTCTTTGCTACTTTTATTGGAACTTGATTGCAATGTGCCACTCTCCATCCAGCAAACATCACTTTTCTCCAGTAACATTTCCTGCTGTGCTCTGTCTATGCTCACGCTGGAATTTAAAACAACACTGAAACTTGACTACAGAATTGCATCCTTGTGGTCACGGTGAGTCGATCAGGAATGGGAAACTTCATTGGGCTGGAGAGACTGAATCAGCTCAGATATGCTACTCTTCTTTTCCTGCTGTATTGGGATTTGGACGAATGAAGACCTGACACTCCCAGTAGTCATCTTGGCATCCTATGAGCATGAAAATAAAATTAGAGGGCCTGGAGCAGTAGCCTAGTGGCTTAAGTCTTCGCCTTGCTAGTGCTAGGATCCCATATGGGCACAGGTTCCTATCCTGGTGGCCCATCCAGCACCCTGCTTATGGCTGGGAAAGCAGTCGAGGATGGCCCAGATCCTTGGGACCCTGCACCCATGTGATGCCAGGAGGCTCCTGGCATCAGCTCAGCTCAGCTCCGGCTATTGCGGCCACTTGGAAAGTAAATCATCGGTTGGAAGATCTTCTCTGTCTCTCTTCTGTGTATATCTGACTTTCCAATAAAAATAATCTTAAAAGGGAGGTGGAGGGACCTGGCACAGTAGCTTAGCAGCTGAAGTCCTCACTTTGTACAGGCTGGGATCCAATATGGGCACCGGTTCTAATCCTGGCAGCCCTGCTTCCCATCCAGCTCCCTGCCTGGGACCTAGGAAAGCAGTCAAAGACAGCCCAAAGCTTTGGGACTCTGCACCCGCATGAGAGACCTGGAAGAGGCTCCGGGCTCCTGGCTTTGGATCAGCATGGCTGCAGCTCTTGGGCCCACTTGGGGATGAATCAATGGACGGAAGGTCTTCTCTGTCTCTCCTCCTCTCTGTAACTCTGACTTTCTAATAAAATAACAATAATAGTAAAATAAATATTTTTAAAAAGGAAGAAAGAAAAGAGAGAGAGCGTACGGCTCTGAGGAGGACAGTGCCAGGGTCTGCTCACTGCCCCTGCAGCTCTCACTGCAGCCCTAACACTGCAGGGTGGCCAGGGACATGTGTTCACCCAAGTCAGAAGTGACTATAACCAAAAATATTCCCGAGAATTAGTTGATTTTGGTTTAAACCGAATTTTGTCCTACTCTGTGCATGACATAGTCATCTAGTCCTAGTTATTAATAATACTTTTAAAATTAGGAATGTCAGTAAATTTTGTTGAATGCTTCTTTTGTTATCTTCAGAGATTATCCTATTTACTTGACCTATTAATATATAAATTACACTAATAGATTACTCGATATTTTTATTGTGCTCTTCTGTTTACCTAACAACAGTAAACATGGTAGACCCTCAGTAGAATCTTCACTGACTTAACTGTTATACTCAATATACAAATATTTTAATTAACATTCTTTTTATACTGATTACTAAGTCTGGTATCTCATTTCCTTTTGTTTGCTTTTCTTTGTACAATGAAAACATTTTTAAAACAGTGTTATAATTATCTTGGACCATTTGGAAATATCCCCCCATAGAATCATCTGTTCAGCTTCCTTCTGCCCGTGACAGTTCTCTCAATCTCTCTTTCCTTAGATAGGTCATGTCAATTTATGGTTTTTGAGTTTATTTATAGATACTTTCTTTAATTTTAAAAATTTCCTTTGTATTAGCAATCATTTCCCATTTTGTTTTGAATTTTCACTGGGATATTTCAAATCTATTTTATATTGTTTGGAAGAGTTATATCCACCAAACTAAATTGTACTAAGTCAGATATTCAAGGTCACTTAGCAAACATTCTATCACGAATGACATCAACATGAGAAAAACATTAAGTTAAGGATTTTTTTAAAATGTCCGTTTATAGAAAGGAACAGGAACAGGGACAAAAGGTCTCTCAGTATGGACTTCAATGGCTCTGGGCACTGCACAACGGGCCTATTCAGTGTGCTCATTTCAACGCTCTCAAGATTACCCTCACATGGAGTGATCTGGGCTAACCAGATCAAGGATATGCAGACGGCTCACGACGGACAGCTAGGTAAGTCTGAGTCATACAGCATCATGGCGCATCACTTCATACTGCAGAAAACTGTCAAATAAGAATGACTGATGATACCCACCAAACCACAACCCCCACCCTTCTTTCATTTATTATGGGGTTCCGGAAATTCTTCAAGTGGGTATGTAGGGCACTTCAGTTGGACCACACTAGGTATTCCCCTTCTGCAAGGAGTGGTGTAGGATTTTAATATGTACACTGATGCTTGAAATGGAAAAATAAATTTAAAAAGGACTACAGAAAAGTGAAATTATACAAAGTAGCAGTCCACCCCCTCACAGCTGTAAATTACTCATCAGTTGTTAATGTCATTGTAAGGAGCTGGAGCTGAGTCACCATCACCCTGGCTGCCGACAAGCAAAATTTAATCTCATTTTTTCATCACAGGGTATTTACTTTATGCATCAGTGCGCAAGGAAAGCCCAATGCAGGAATTCTATTCATCTTGATTCTGGAACAACTCAGCTCCAAATGAATCAATAATATTCACTAAAACCAAACAGAGGGATTCCTTGCCAGTTTTCTGTCAGAAACAACTGGGAGGGAAAGGAAGAACAGGAATGCTTACTTTCTCTGTCGCACATTCTCTGCAATCTTGCTACTCTGATCAATAACACATGCTTTCCTCCGGGTACTGTGTTGAAAGGCAAATGCTTGAAACAGAACTAGCATTAATATTTCTTAAAATTTTTTCATTAATTCACTAATTTTTACAAAAATATATTTTTAGATCATGTCAAATATGCATGAGCCTAATGCATTCATCTAGAAACTGGATCTCATAATTCTCCTATAAAAAATGATGTACAGTTGGGCCTGGCGGCGTGGCCTAGTGGCTAAAGTCCTCGCCTTGAACAACACCCCAGGATCCCATATGGGTGCCGGTTCTAATCCCGGCTGCTCCACTTCCCATCCAGCTTCCTGCTTGTGGCCTGGGAAAGCAGTTGAGGACGGCCCAAAGCTTTGGGCCCCTGCACCTGGGTGGAAGATCTGGAGGAAGTTCCTGGATCCTGGCTTCGGGCGTCGGTACAGTACCGGCTGTTGCGCTCACTTGGGGAATGAATCATCGGATGGAAGATCTTCCTCTCTGTCTCTCCTCCTCTCTACATACCTGACTTTGTAATAAAAATAAATAAATCTTTAAAAAAAATAAAAAATAATGATGTACAGTGATGTATACAATTAGATCAGATCTTTTATTTCCACGATAAAGAGCTCTATCTGAATCCAGTAGCTTTAAGTTTTAACATAATTGACGAGTTTTGTTATAGCTGATCTCTTGACTTTTTTAATATCTGACATCATTTTTACTTGGATTTTTAAAAGTAATACACAATTTTTAAAAAGGTTTTGCTCAAATTCTTGCTACTCTCACCCACTCATATTTGTTTACTGACTTCACATTCCTCGCTTTACTTGCTCCATTTATTCAGGCATTATTAATGACAAGCTCCCGTTGCTCCAATTACCTTCCACATCCTACTTGACCTTTTGCAAAAACACACTTGTATTTTTTTCTCTTCCCTCTTTTTACTGATCTGAAAAGTCTTTCTGCATAGTTTTCTCCTTAGTGCCACTATATAATCAACCTGAATGTACAAACAATTGGATTTAGCATTTTGCAGATATTTTCCATGGATCACTAGGTATGAGAAAACGTTAGGATTTTTAAACTTAGCAAACACTCAGGCAGAAAGCACTCACCCACAGAGCCTTCCGAGCCATCCGTCTCCTTTGGGATGTAATGTGCAGAAAGATCACTCTGAAGGACTTGATCTGATGTGGCTCGGGCTAAAGCAGCAGCCAAAAATGAAGGGCAATTACTGGAAGAGAGAAACAAAAGGCTATTTTCAGCAATAATTAGGAAATAATGCATGGATATCATTCATAATTATGTGTTATAACATTTCAAATACCTGTGAACAGTATCTTGACTAACATTTGGGAGCACACTATAAGGTAGCAGATAACAGGCTGAGTAACAGATCTGGCATCTGACGTGGGGTTTTACAAAGAGGGTCTGGAGAAAGATGACAACCAATCAAATGTGATATAATCTAAAAGTGGGGTAAGTTTTACAAGGGAAATTAGCAGGATACAATATCAGAGAAGAACAGAGGACACAGCGTTTAGGTGTGATGATCAGGAATGCCCAGGCCTAGCCTGGGAAAATGAGAAGAGCTCTGTTGATGTGGGAGTGGGAGGCCAGGAGAGAATATTTTGGGCAGCGAACAGTGTGGGAAAGTGATCAATGAAAGGTCAGAGGAAAGGCAAAGTCCAGCTATTCAGGTAAGGAACTTAAGACCGAGCAAGGGAGTACAAAATCAGACATGAATTAAAATACTGCACCGACTGCTGTGTCAAATTAGAAGGGAATAAGACCGAAGGGTGTGACCCCGGCGCGGTGGCACAGTGGTTAAGGTCCTCGCCTTGCATGCCCGGGATCCCATATGGGTGCTGGTTCTAATCCCGGCAGCCCCGTTTCCCTTCCAGCTCCCTGCCTGTGGCCTGGGAAAGCAGTCGAGGACAGCCCAAGGCTTTGGGACCCTGCACCCGTGTGGGAGACCCAGAAGAGGCTCCTGGATTCGGATCGGCATAGTATCGGCCCGTTACGGCTCACTTGGGGAGTGAATCATCGGACGGAAGATCTTCCTCTCTGTCTCTCCTCTCTGTATATTCGCCTTTCCAATAAAAATAAATCTTAAAAAAAAAGACTGAAGGGTGACCACTAAGAGACTTATAATCCAGCGAAGAATAACTAAAGCATATTTTGGGGAAAAGCAATACAGATCTTGCTCCTGGCTGGATGTAAGGGGAGGTTGATCAGAATTAAGGTTGCGTCCTGAGTTCGGATCTGAACATCTACTTGTGGATGTATTTAAAACCTTGGGAACAGGATCTCATAGAAGAACAAAGACGACTGCTCTGGATCGGTGACTCCTGTGTGCCTTCCCATTTCTCCGTCTTGGGATGAGAAGGTTATGCCTCACTGCTGCTGGCTCATGAGAGGAAGAGGGTTACAGAGTTTCCCTTTTCGAGTTTTCAGATCAAGCAAAGCTACAGTTAAGGGAGCTATCATCAAGAAAACATACACAAGGAGAATCTTGGTTTACCTGGACTGGATCCAATATGGGTTTTAGATTTATTTATTTTACTTGAGTTCCAGAGAGCGAGAGGGAGAGCAGGGATAGACAATGACATTTTTCATCCTCTGGTTCACTTCCCAAATGCCTGCAGGAGCCAGAACTGGATCAGTCCAAAACTGGGAGCCATGAATCTCTCCTAAGTCTCCCACAGGTAGAGGGGCCCAAGGCTTTGGGCCAACCTCTGCTGCCTTCCTAGGTCATCAGCAGGGAGCTTTATGGGAAGTAGAGCAGCCAGGACTAGAACAGTTGCCCATATGGGATCCCAGCACCACATATGGAGGATTAGCTTGCTATACAACCACACAGGCACCAATGGGACTTTTAATTTTAAAGATGTTTGTATTTGAATGGCAAAGAGATGGAGAGAGAGATTTTCCATCCACTGGCTCACTCCCTCAATGGTCTCAACAGCTGATGCTGGGCCAGGGAGAAGACAGGAGCCAGGCATTCCACCTCAATCTCCCATACAGGTGGTAGGGACTCAAAATTGTTCCATCTCCCACTGCTTTCCCAGACACCTTAGCAGGACTGAAAGCTGAGCAAGCAGGACTCCAACCAGCACACTGATTATGGGAGGCTGGCTTTGTCACCAGTACCTTAACACACCACTCCACATCAGCTCCTCAATGAGTTTTTGAAACTCAAACATAAGCCTTTAGGGAAAGATGTGAATTGTTTGGCAAGAAAAAGAAAATATTAATTTTCTTAAATGGGCCACAGCAATATTTCTGGCCTCGCATGTTATTTCAGAACTTGCTAGTCCACAGAAAGAGGCAAAATCTTTCCCTTCCCTTAAATCTGGGTGAGATGTTGTAATTACTTTGGAAAAAAAACAGTATTAAAGTTGATGCTCTTTGACCATAAAAGTTTGATCATAAAAGACCATATGCCTTTCCCCTGGCTTCCCCTTCCTTTTTCCCTCTCTGGATGACTGTCCTTGGGCCACAGCCATCCTCAGCGAGGAGCAATCACATGAACAGACTCAGGGGGTGTGAACCAAGCCCTGCCCCTCAGCCAACTACCAGCATCAGCTGCTTGATGTGGAAATTCACAAGCCTTCAGAAGATACCAATCTCCAACCCGAATCTTCCAGTTAAGGCCTCAAACATCATGGAACAAACATAAGCTGATCCTGCTTTGCCAATCTGAATTCCTGACCCAAGGAAACGGAGGACAGTGGTTTTCAGTGCACCAAATTGTGAGCAGACTGGTTCTACCCCAAAGCCGAGTCAGACACAGACTGGTAGAAGTTCAGCAGCCTTTGTTCACTTGGCGGCCCCATCCCACTGCCAATGAAGAAGGGAGCAGCCCCGACAGGCCAGAGTTGGGGGCTTTTAAACTTAACGCTGGCATGAAAATGATCCAATCAACTAAGCTAGCACTGGTGCGATAGGACAAAGGGAGAACTGTCAGTTACTCTCAGACTTGAGCACTCTCCTCCCTGGGTTGCATCAGACTTGCGCTTCGGTCTGGGCTGCCAGAGAGGCTATAGCTGAGTGCTAACCTGAGGAGAAGGTCAACCACCTACAACCCAACTGCCAGGCACCATTAGGGGAAACAATAACACCGTTAATTATGTTAAACTATCCTATGGGTAAGAGTGACATCCTGCCTGGCAGGGAGGAGCTGAAGCAAGCAAGCTTGGCTTACAGAAGCCAGTTTTGCAGTGAAGTTTTAAAGTGACAGCAGATAATCGTTCTAATATTCTGGTTCTTCATATGTGTCCCTAACAGAACACTTGTGTTACTGCTCACCCTGAGATGCAAGTAGAATCATAGGCCCTAACAAAACTAATGGCATTTTGAATTTTCAGGCTGCCAGGCACCAATTTTGTAGCAACATCTTTACACAGCAACAATAACTAAAAACAAAGACTTAGATAAGGAACATACAAAGGCTGAAAAATTGCAAGGTAAGTAAATGGAGAACCAAAAGAGTATTTAAGGGAGGGAATGATCAACACTGCTGAGAAGTTATATGTGAAATGATGAACACTGAATTTATTTATTTATTTATATTGGAAAGGCGGATATTCAGAGAGGAGGAGAGACAAAGCTCTTCCGTCCGATGGTTCACTCCCCAAGTGAGCGCAACGGCCAGTGCTGTGCTGATCCGAAGCCAGGAGCCAGGAACTCTTCCGGGTCTCCCATGCAGGTGTAGGGTCCCAAGGCCCTGAGCCGTCCTCAACTGCTTTCCCAGGCCACAAGCAGGGAGCTGGATGGGAAGTGGAGCAGCCGGGATTAGAACCGGCACCCATATGGGATCCTGGCGCTTTCAAGGCGAGGACCTTAACCACTACGCTATCGTGCTGGGCCCGAACACTGAATTTAATAGAATGAAAATCACAGTGTGGATGTCAGACAATTCACTGTGAGGAACAATTGTTTGAACACATTGTGCTGAGACAAGTGGATATCCACATGTTAAAGAATTCAGTTGGTACCACTTCTTTCTAATATTTACAAAAATTAACTCACAATATATTATAGGCCTAAAGGTTACACTTTCAACTGTAAAACTCTTAAAAATATAGAAGTAAATCCTCATGACCTTGAGTTAAGCAAGCACATGCCAAAAACAAAGCTAAACTGCAACAGAATTTAAAACATATGTGCCACAATCAAGAAAATGCAAAGACAACATAAATGGCCAAAAATATTTGCAAATCTTAAGATTTATTGATGCAAAGAAAAAGATTTATTGATACACTGGTATATATAATATACAAAGACACTAATTCCTCAAAAATAAAAAGATGGCCTGGTATGATAGCGTAATGGCTAAGGTCCTCACTTTGAATGCGCCAGGATCCCATATGGGCACTGGTTCTAATCACGGCAGCTCCACTTCCCATCCAGCTCCCTGCTTGTGGCCTGGGAAGGCAGTCAAGGACGGCCCAGGGCATTGGGACCCTGCACCCGCTTGGGAAACCTGGAGGAGGTTGCTGGCTCCTGGCTTCGGATTGGTGCAGCACTGGCCGTTGTGGTCACTTGGGGAGTGAATCATTGGATGGAAGATCTTCCTCTCCCTCTCCTCCTCTCTGTACATCTGCCTTTCCAATAAAATAAATCTTTAAAAAAAATAAAAAGACAACCCCATATGCATTTTTTTTCCAAACAAGATATACAAATGGGAGAGGAGCACATGGGTAGATGTCCAATGTCTGGATATTTGGCTTCTGCTTGATTCCCGGCCCAGAGTTCCTAAAACCCTTGTGATATCCTGAGGGTCAGAGGTGCCAGACACACTTTTTGTGGTAATATTTGGTCTTTGAACCTAGTTTTTCTCACAAAATTCCAAAATGCTGGGGATTTCCTGGATGACAAGGAGCATCTTGTTCTAAGGAGAGGTTCTTGTAGCTGCAGGAAAGAGACGCTCACCAGAAAGACCAAGCCAGGACCAGAACCTTCATCCTTCAGCTCCACTCATCCTCCAGGAAGCAGTGGAGACTAGAACCTGAGCAGTGAGGTGCATGGCAAGGCCTCCGTAGAATTCCCCAAAGGACAGGGTTTGAGGAGGCGGCATCATGGTAACAGAACCACATGCCTGAAGGGTGGTCTACCATATTCCATCGGGACAAAGCCGCTGGGGTTTGGTGCCCTTCTTTGGGACCAGGTGTTGTTTCTTCATCTGGCTCATCATTAGTATCTCTTACAACATCCTTTAAGAAATCAATA